CGTTGGGAGCATCAGGAGGATATGAGCGACATGGGCCTCGCCATCGAGAGAGTACTCCAGTATACGATGATGGGGACATCGAGCTATTCCTGGACAGCTTTTGGGATCATGCGAGGCGTATGAGCTGGACCGTGGCCCAAGCAATCGAGGGACAGAGGGGAGTCGGCAGATTCGAGGAGTCGGCAGATTCGAGGAGCCTGTCGCGCGGATCCGTAGAGAGGCGACGACGAGATCAGAGGTGGAGTGGAGGATGCAGGAACTGCGACCCTCGCCTGTGGGACCAGAAGGCAGGCCGATCCGTCTAGAGATCGAAAACGTGGCAGACTTCATCCCTGCTTTCGAGTGGTTCATGCAGGGGCAGGGTATACCGAGAGATGAGTGGGCGAGGACGCTACCACTCTGGACCAGGAAGGTGGAAAGGCCGCTGGCTAGCCAAATCAGAGACATGGCCCGGGACTGGAAAAGCTGCAGGGCACATCTAAGAGAGGCCTTTCGACGGCCAGAGTCCCCCCACCCCAGAGTCGAGAGACGTCAGAGGAGTCAGAGGTCAAGGGACCCTGAGCCCAGGGAGGTGAGACCGTCTCGGGGAGGACGGAAGGCCCTAGCCAGGAGAGAGGAGGAGTCGGAGCGGGAGCCAGAGGTTGAAGAGCGAGTGGCATACCCTGAGTGTGGGTTGGGACCAGTGGAGTTCCATCGTTTTACTGAGGGTGGATTGAGGAGGTCACCAACACACACACGGGAGGAGCCGCCAGTGTCTGAAGGGCCGTTGAGAGAGTTAGAGACACATCTGGATATCTCCTAGTGGAGAGCGTCGCCTCAGGATGAGAAGCATGAAGAGCAAGTAGAAGGGGTGCCACGAGAGGAGGTACCACAAGAGGAGGTGCCACGAGAGGAGGTGCCACGTGAGGAGGTACCACGAGAGGAGGTGTCACGAGAGGAGGCGCAGGGTACTCAGCAAGAGAGCAGGCTAGGCGATATAGGGAGACGTGCAGGGAAGGAAGTGATAGAGGTTGGAGAGGACACACCCCCACAGGCGCCAGCAATGGGTTTGAGACTCGGGGATGCACCAGGGAGCGCCCGTCAGGCAGAGGAGAGATTGCGGAGAGAGGAGTCCCCACTTCCTTCATCAGAGAGGGCTCCATCGCCAGAGGGGAGAGCCGGCAGGAGGAGAGAAGGGGCAGCTGTAAGGAGGGAAGCCTTGACCCTGATTGATAGGCACCTAGCAGCTTATGCCCTGGAGCATCCAGACCTGGAGGAGCCAGCACCTGCAGAGCCGTGCCGGGAGCTGTACCAACCCGAGAAGGAGATGGAAGCAGAAATCCCGAAGAGGGTCGACCTCCGCACGACGGAAAGGGCGCCAGCTGGAAAGACGGCTGAAGAAAAGAGAGCAAGAAGAACTAGACGGATAGATGAGATATGGCAGGAGAGGCAGAGGTTGGAGGCAGCGGGGGAGCTTCCGGAGCAGCAACAAGAGAGGCAGAGATCGGAAGCAGCAGGAGCACTCCCAGGTCAGCCACCCAGCGCGCCAGCTAGGGCCTCGGAGATTCCTGAGATGTGGAGAGACTTCTGGAAGCAGAGAGG